TATTGCGAAAAATATTGCCTCGACCGGGAGTCGAACCCGGATCTCTTGCATTCCGTGCGAGAGTCCTGAGTCTTTAGACTACCGGTAGTCGTCGTATTTAAAGTAATATTACTTAAACGGTCTTGTTTCCAATCTTATTGTATATAAAATTTGTTTGCTCAAGTTGCTGTTGTTATTCTATGTAAACAATCGTTCTATGTAATAATAATATGTAAAATGTGTTATTATAGTCACCGAAGAAGTGCAGTGGTTCAGTGGTTGCAAAGTCGAATTCAACCTTGGAACGTTGTAAAATGGGCTTTAACTTGTCAAGTTAGGTATAATACTTTAAAATCTGCCACCGCTTTACATCAAATAGCTAATTATTTTGAACAGAATACAGTTTTGAAACAGAATACAGCTTCTAGATTATATCTTGGCAAGTGATTTTTTTCTCGTGAAAATCTTAGTGTCTGATGACTACTATACATATACAATAGCTTTTTAACAATTTATTGTTTCCAGTTAGAAGAAGATTTTGACCAATTATATCCACACTTAGCATCAAGATTTTCAGCTAGATGGCCTGCTTTGGCTATTAACTTACGACAAGAAATAAAAAATACTGATAAGGCAGGTACGTACATCTTTTAAGATACTTTTAATAGACTATTACTTGCAATGCTAGATTTCATATTTTTTAATATTTTACATCATTTCTTTCGTTTGATTAGATAGTCCTGAAATTTTTCAAGAATTTTTCACAAATATATTTTCTGATTTTTAAGGTGATTCTGATAGCTGCTTTATCATTTCTAACAAAATTATTTAATACTTTTAACATTAGTTCGCGTGGAGGTCAACTTCACAGAGTGAACAACCAAGAGATTTTAAATATTATTTTATTTTTTTAGTAAAGGTTGAATGATTAAAAAAGCTTCAATGATTAATGAAATATTTCTCTCTATGCAAATTACATGGATCGACATGTAGGTGCAGATTGAGCTATTTCTTGTAAATTTTTCTCCGCTTAATTTAAATCCGGCATTGAAGCTTTTTTTATTACATCTGGTTTTTTTGAAAAAAATTGAAGTCAAAAGTGCAAAAAATGTATTCTTTTTAAACCATTTTTTATAATATAAGCAATAAATGCGAGATTTTAGATTTTTTATGCTAGAAAATCTAAAAAAGCTCAAAATGCGGATTAGACAGTGCAAATTTATTACTTATTTTGAAAATGTTGATAAACATTTTTGCACCTTTGAATTTTCAAAAACCAAATATGATAATAAAAAATATGAAGATACAAAAATTTCAATACATTCGGATTCAGCGACAAAAAGTCTACGGAAAATTAATTGACAGACTCAATCCGCATTTAGCATGTTGATCATTGTTATTTGTAAAAACGAAAATAGGATATATTATCAATGTCCTCATTTTTTTATAGACAATAGATGATATTGATCTTGGCATTGAAAGAATTGAAAATGCTGCCCGGCAAATGAAACAAAGTATTCAGCCTTTCGTGGTTTTTGTAGGAGAATCATGGGATTCAGTGATTGACTACTACGTTATTGAACGTGGTAGTCAAATATAGTAGTATAAATATAATCAGATATGTTTTTCATTAATACATCTTACGGATGGTAATGCATTTTATATTAGTATGTTTCTTGTCATAATTTGAAGTATTGAAATTGAGCAATGTATATTGACACTCGATCGTGTTATATAATATCTTTGTAGTACATATACATATTGAATAAAATGAATGAGTTTTCGATTTTGTGATTTACGATTACAAATCAATAAGTACCCCGTGTTTCAAGACAGGCAACGTTGCTGATGCAAGTTGGCATTACCATCATTGTACTACCATCTTTTAAATGACGCCATACAAAATTTCAGAGTGATTTATGCAATAGTCTTGATTTGACAGCAATTCGTAGTGAGCGTGTTTGATGTTTTCTGATACAATGGAAAAAGAGCAATATCGATCCATGATTCGTTTCTTATTTTTGGGATTGAAAAACGTACGAAGAAATAAAAACGAAGTTTTGGCGTCTATGGGAACTCTTCACCATCTATGACAACCGTCAGATATTGGTTCAACGAATTCAAACGTGGTCGTTCGTCTGTTTTTGATGAGGAGTGCCCAGGCTGCCCGGCAATCATGGTTATTGAGGAAATCGTTGAAAAAGTCCACGACATGATTCTCGCTGATCGCCGAACGCAAGTGCATGAAGTAGCAGAGGCCGTAGGCGTGTCATATGGAACGGCATTCAATATTTTGCATGATAACTTGGGAATGAAAAAGCTATCGGCCCGATGGGTGCCGCGATTGCTCACAATGCATCGGCTCACTCCTCCGCAGTCGCCAAATTGGTTGAATTGCGTTACGAATTGCTGCCGCATCCACCGTATTCTCCAGATTTAGCCCCCTGTGACTTCTTCGTTTTTTAAACTTGAAAAAAATGGCTCTGTGAAAAGAAATTCACGTCGAATGAGGAGGTCATCGCCGAAACAGAGGCCTATTTTGCAGAGTTCGACAAATCATATTTTTCTGAGGGGTTAAAAAATGACGTTGGGAAAAGTGTATCCTTCTAAAAGAGGATTACGTTGAAAAATAAAAAAAATTTTTGTGAAAAGCTTGCGTCTTCATTACTAGTACGGGTACTTATTGATTTGCCCTCGTATAGGGCAGTTACTCACGTACGTGAGTATTATATGTTCTGGAAAAAATATCACATACATGTATCATGACATATTCATTGAAATATGAAACCGATAAAAAACGCGCGCGAGTTCGAAGGCACAGCGATTGGAGAATTTGAAGACCTTAACTACTGGAATGCGCTTTAAGCACACTCACAATGTACTTCAACCGAATGTCATATCTATTTACATCTGAGTCAGTGAATATGTTGAAAATTGTCACTATTTCAATTTTGAGTTCTCAAGTATGTATAAAGAACTCTCCAATATACTCTCCGTTTCGGATAATCTTTCCCACATCTTTACTCGATATTATATTCAATTTAAACGTATATTATAATTATTATGAGATTTTATTTTGAGAGAGAGAGAAAGAGAGGAGAGAGAATAAAATTCACAAATTTACCTACACAATTGAAATATTCTTAATTTGAATTTTCGCTTTAATTTGACATAAGATGCATTACTTTAAATATGAAGTGCCATTACAGTTAAGTCTGAATGTTAAGATGTTGAACTATTATATATATTCATTTAAATGAATATATATGAATATATAATGAATTTTAGAAATTATAATTGCGTGATGATATGTTTGTCGGACTTTCAATGCAATCAATCTGAAATATAATCCCCCCCAATTGCCTCGGCCGGGAGTCGAACCCGGATTTCGTGCATTCCGTGCGTGCTAAGCCTTTTAGAGCAATATTCCTCCGAGCAATAACCGATATGTATAGAGAGTTATGCATTGTAAGCTAGTGTATATAAACAATAATAATATTGGAAATAAGACCGTTTATGTTAGATACATTACTTTAAATACGAAGCGCCACTATGGTCTGAATGTTAAGAGGTTGAACTATTATATATATTTATTTAAATGAATTAATTTCAGAAATTATAATTGCGTGTCGATATGATTGTCGGACTTTCACATAACTTTCACATAACGAACTTTGACATAAGATGAATATAGTAAAAAGTAACATAAACATTATATAAAGAATTAACACGACAATTTAATATTTTACATGTACATTTATTTTTCTTTCATTTTTTAATTTACATTTTATAACTGTATTATTTTTGTTATTTGTTGACTTATTTATAAATTGTATTATTTTAATACTTACAATTGTTTAATACCAATTTAACACAAAATATTCAAATAATCCAATCATATTATGTTAAATTAATAAGTGATTATTTTAAAAATAATACAGTTATTGTAATAATAATATATGTTAAAAATTCAACATAAAACTTTAACCAGTTTTAACACACATACGAAATACTTTTTACAGAGCTATGAATTTATACAAGCTTAGTGTAGAAAAAAGATGTTGCTATATTGTTCACCTTTATTTTATATTTATAAACTAAGAAACTTTTATTCTCAAAAGCAAACTCTCTCTCTCTCTTTCTGCATAAAGAAGAATTCATATGTCCGATTTATTGTTTTACTATGGATCTCTCGCCATTTCCTTTGTGATTATACAAGACATCCGATAATTGTTTTGACAGAGTTCGTGGACATGTAGAGCAGACTAAATTAAGACGGAAATCATGCAATTTTTGCAATAATTAACAAGATATTAATTATTACAAATTGCTAAAAATTTGTCTTCAATAATTATTTATTCAAATACTATTAATTTTACAAAAAAATTGCAAGAGATAAAAATTGTTTATTTTCTTCTCATAGAGCTATAAGAATTTCTTTTAGAATTTTATCAGAATTTTTTAATGCCGTATTTTCTCATGTTGATAAAAATGAGAAACTGTACTACTAAAAAGTTGATAAAAAATTTTGAAAAAATTCGTAAAATTCTATGAGAAGAAAATTAACAATTTTCATCTCTTGTAATTTTTTTGTAAAGTTGATAGTATTTAAATAAAAAATTATTAAAGATCAATAATTTCAACAATTTTTAGCAATTATTATCTTGTTAACTATTGCAAAAATTGCAAAATGGTAGAGGACTTTCCATCTCAGTTTAGTCCGCTCTATATATCCACAAACTCCGTCAAAATAATTATCAGATATCCTGTATGTATTGTTAATGATTGCATACATATAAACGAAAATGAAAACTAAAGTTTGAGAGGAGAATAAAAATATTTTTAAAATGTTTTGACAACAAACAATATTAGACTGTAGTCAAGGACTATAGTCAAGGAGACAAATTTATTTCGTCAACACGATTAGCTTGATATTCTCTAGATATTTGATACAAACGTTCAGCTGTACATCCCAGAAGTGCGACTATTTATCTCGCGGATTTTATATCAAAATCACTCACACTCCTCTCTCTCCATTTCGGTCCATTCAGGTGCATAAAAAGCGCTTCCACTCGATCCATCGCCATCGTACTCGAATACAGCACCTGGCGAACCGTTTCTACATTTCATACTGATTTATATGTAAGTATGAAAGAACGACAAGTATGTAGTAAGATCATTTTTGATATCAAACACATGATGGTCTAATATGATTCGCGATCTAATCTAAATTCGCGATCTAATCTAAAATTTTTATAATAAGTATCTACTCTATTGTATCGATAAGCTCATTCTAAAGCGCTTTTTCATTTAATTTATTTTTAACACGAACAGATAGATGATTGCGCGTCTTCGGTTAATCATAAAAATACCGCGGCCTCGCCATAATTAATTTTTACGCGGTAAAAAATTGCCATGTCTCACATTGAGAGAAAAATGTTTGACATTTGTAACTATAATTATATACAGGGTGGGCCATCTATTGGTACGTTTTTAAAAATGCGATCAAATGAGCATACATTGATATTTTTTATTAATTTTTTTTTTGTTGTGAAGCTAAAAGTATCCGCGTCAAGAATGAAAAACGATTTCGTTCATGTGGCTCCCTCTACTGGCCTTACAGTATGCCATTCGGTCATCCCAATTATTAATGACATTTTGGACTACCTCGGCGCCAATTTCACTCAAAACAGTCGTAATATAATGTCATCCACTAACATCCCTTTCTCACGAACTTTCCTCACCAATTTGCGTATAGCTCCTTCGGTGGGTGCTCTATCACGACCCATATTTCTTTTCAAAATTCGTACAGTTTCGGCGACACAGCACTGACTTTGAAAATAAGTTTTTAAAATTTCAAAACGCTCTTCAAGAGAAAACATGTTGTTTCGTGCAGAGGACGGTATGACTAATAAACTGTCAAAATTTCGGGTCTGTAGCTCGTTCGGTGTTGCCATACGACGAAATTCAAAAACGTACCAATAGATGGCCCACCCTGTATTACTATAATTATGATTATTATTGCTATAATAATAATAATAATAACAGGAACTATGTATATATTTCTAGCAACAAATATATATTTGCAGTTGGCAACCTAAAATGACTATAATTATAGTTATTATAACCATGAAATAGTTGAAATTACCTCAGTGTACGTATAGTTGGATAAACTCGCGAGATATAGAATAATTTTCCATCGTTCGTTTCGCGTAGCAACATCTAAATTAATCTACAAAAATTATGAAAGAAATATCGTTCATCGGCAAATTATCGGACGGAATTAACGTGTGTGATTCGAGTATGGGAACTCGGTTCACGCATTAATATATAACTACTTCGAAAGAGAACATAACATAAGAGTGTGGCTGTTTTATACGAGATGAATATAAAATGTTACAACGACCATCAAATAAAAAGCAGAAGCATGTAACGCGAAAATGTATGCTATAAAATATGCATTGAAATGAACAAATGTAGATATGCGTACAAACAATGCGATATGACAAGAAACGTATTAACGATAAATAAATTTTCTTTTTCTGTTTATTTGCGTAAGATATGATTATGAATTGGATAAGATGTTAGATTCTTATGGATAGAAACGATTTTTTTTTTCGCTATGTACACATTGCAGTTGAAGAATTTGAATTAAAGTTAACACTCATGTGACATGGCCAAATTTTTGTGTTAATTTAACATAAGATGAATATAGTTAGAAAGTAACATACATAAATAAAAATACGTTTTGTAAAAGCATAGAGAATATAACAATAAATGATTGGTAAATGCTATGGAAGTACATACATATATCTTCAGTAAAATTATAATATGTTAAATAATACATCAAATTAATATGTTTTTTCTCATAATAATATATATAATTTACACGATTCTTTAAAATAAATTGATTTTATTTAACTCAATATGTATTTTGAAAAAGATTATTTTTATGTTTGATAATATGAGGCTTCCACGGATGCTTTTTATATAAAGATTATGCGTTTCCTCCGTATCCAGATCCATTCTTGACATGCCAACGTTTTGTGTAGTTCACTTCATCACACTCCCCGACATACAACTTATCCTTTCAAGTACAAACACTACAACCCCTTACTGGAAAATCCGAATCACACATAACCAACTCAACGGACTTCATACAAAAGATCCAAAAAATCCGATTACGTCCCACAAACCTGCTTGTAAGTTTCGACATAGAATCCATTTTCACACCAATCCTAACAAAAGACACATTAAACATAATAAAGGTCTCACATGAAGTCCCCTCCGACTCATCCCGCTAATAGAGCACTGTTTAACAACCACCTATTTCTTCTATAACAATCAATTTTATGAACAAATTTCAGGAGCGACAATGGGCTCTTCTATTTCTCTTGTAATCGCCAACATCTTCATGGAGCATATTGAGAAAGAGGAAGAGCCTTCAGAAGAACACTAAAAAAATCAGAAGTTTGGTTTCGTTATGTAGACGACACATTCGTGATATGGAGACATAGCAGAACTCTGTAAATTCTTTATTTTCCTCAACAATCAACATCCAAATATCCACTTCACTATAGACATAGAGGAAAACGGAAAACTCCCCTTCCTAAATGTTTTTGTTTCTAAGAAAGCTGATGATATCTTAGGCTATCAAGTGTACAGAAAACCAACATACATAGGTAGATACCTACATGCCGAGTCGCAACATCACTCAGCACAAAAACAGTCTGCAATCGACTCACTTGTACATACAGCTTTCACCATCGCTGACAAAGAACATCTACAGACAGAACTCAACTATCTAAAACTAGCCTTATAGAAAAACAGACACGACAAAAAAGGCATAACTAAAATAACTAATAAACATGCAAACAAGACAACGGTCTCTGACACACAACCAAACAAAAGGATCCTATCCATTCTTTCACATGTCAAAGAAACAACAGATCGGATTGGCAGAATATTAAATAAACACAATATCCGAACTATCTTCAAATCACCCAAAAAGATAGAACAAATTTTAAGAAATCTTAAAGATCAAAGACCTCCACTCAGCTCCGCAGGATTATACAGAATACCTTGTTCCTGTGGGCAAGTATACATTGGAGAAACCGAGAAAACAGTCAACTTACGGATAAAAGAACACCAACGTCAAGCTAAAACACTTAAATGAATATTATCAGAACACAACAAATACTGTTTGACAAAATAATCACAATAGCCAACGTTACATCATACTTTCCAAAAAGTAGAAAAGCCATAGAGATACAAAATCACCCTAACAATCTAAATAGAGATAATGGTTACAGCGTAAATAAAATATGGAAAACGATTCTCCCGGTTATTGGAAACCGACCAATTTCTCCCATCTTCCCCTCCCCCACAATTATCTTATTTCTCCTCACCACTCCAACAAGTAGCGTAATATAAAAAGAATGGCCCAGAGAAATAGCTCAATATCAGACTGTTTCTCGCCCTGATGAAGTGGACTGCAAGATTCATGAAACATTGGCATTCCAAGACTGGATCTGGACACGAAAACTCGCAAAACGTATAATTTTTATTATTTTTATGTTATTTGTGTCATAATCTGTTATTTTAACACTAAGAAGTATTGAATCAACTTAACAGAAAATGTTCAAACAATGTAATTACATTATGTTAAATTAATCGGATATGTTAAAAAATTTAATTTAAAAAATTTTGAAAAAGACCGATTTTAGCACAAATATAATATGCTTTTTTTTACTGACATGCGTATAAAAATATCACCTCCTATCTGAAGTCTAAAAATATTGCTTTATTTTGATGAAATTAAATTTCGACATTTGCGTAATTGTGCACTTGTCCTGAATAGAATAACTGGATGTCTATTAAGCTAGCATCCCCTACCCTGAAAAAATCAAGATGACATCTATACCAGAATTAAATGCTTTTTATGTGCTAATTATGTGCTGTAACATCAAATTTTGTGCTCTAACGATTTAACAGAAAATCTCAATTGAATGTGGGGGTGCTAACTTAATGTTAAGTTAGCACCTCCTTGATTAAATTACAAAATAAAAAAATTAGTATAGTAAAATTATATGCTTTTTAAGTGCTTTCAAACAAATTAAAATTAATTGAACCGTAATGGTTTATAAGGTAAGATTCAATTGATACATATAACATTTTTACAAGAGTAAAATATTAGTTATAATCAAGATAGCAAATTGGTTGTAGAAAATTGTTCCTCCATTTTTGCGCTTTCAAAATATGCACGACAAGATTTCGAGGCTAACCTTCTTTGATTGAAAAATCATCTCGAAAAATCATGACCCATCGCCACTCTACAAGAGTAAAATACCAGTTAAAATGCAGGTATTGAATTAGTTGTAGTCAAACAAGTAGTTGTGTCAAATTGTTCCTTCATTTATGTGCTCTCGAAATATGCACAATGAGATTTATGTTCATACCCTTTGACTAGAAAATCACCCTCGAAGTGATTACCTATCGCCACTTTACAAGGATAAAATTCTAGTTACAATACAAACAGCGAATTGGTTCCAGGCTTAAAACATTTTTCTATTTATGTGCTCTCGAAATATCCACGAGATTTTGGTGCCATTCCTCTTAACCGGAAAATCATCCTCTGTGACTACCCATCGCCTCCCCACAAGAGTAAAGTGCCAGTTAAAATACAGATAGAATTGATTGTACGCTTAAGATATTCTTTTATTTATGTGCTCTCAAAATATGCACAATAAAATTTTTGTACTCATCCCTTTTGATCGGAAATCACTCTCGAAGTAATTATTCATTGCTTATCTACAAGAGTAAAGTGCTAGTTAAAATGCAGATACCGAATTAATCGTAGACTTAAATTGTTCCTTCGTTTATGTGCTCTCTATGCACGAGATTTTGGTGTTCATGCTAAAGTGGAGTGGGTGATCACTTCGGGGATAATTTATCGATCAAAAAGAATGAGCACAAAAATGTCGTTGTGCATATTTCGAGAGCACATAAATGGAGAAATAATTTGATTCCACAACCAATTCGGTATCTGCATT